ACTCAACTTCCTCACTCCTAAAGCCCGCCCAACACCCGTAGTTGGAGACAAACAGATAAATACATGATCCCCTTCTGAAAATTCAAGGGGTCGATGCTTTGCATCATAATAACTCTTTTGGCGACTCTGTACTTTCTTCAATCGATCCTTAATCATTATAATTTGATCGGTAGTCTCTTGGACCATATCAAGCCCAAATAACTGCCTCTCACCAATTTCTGACCAACAAGTAGGCGCCCTGCACCTACGACCATACAAAGCTTCATAGGGAGTCATGCCTAAACTGGCATGATAACTATTATTGTAGGAAAATTCCACCAGAGGAAGATATTTATCCCATGAATTTCCCTGCTCTAAGGCACAAGCCCTCAACATGTCCTCCAGGGTCTGAATAGTCCTCTCAGTCTGACCATCAGTCTGGGGATGATAAGCCGTACTCAGCCTCAGCTATGTACCGAATGCCTGTTGCACAGCATCCCAAAGTCTAGAAGTAAATTTAGGGTCCGGATCACTAATGATACTTTCAGGAACACCATGCAGTTTCACAATCTCCCTTACATATAACCGAGCCAGCTGCTCTGTAGAGAAACTCGTTTTGACTGGTATGAAATGTGCAGACTTTGTCAATCTGTCAACAACTACCCAGATAGAATCAAAACCAGCCTGAGTTCTCGGTAATGCCACCACATAATCCATAGAAATACTGACCCATTTCCATTCTGGAATATCCAAGGGCTGCAATAATCCAGAAGGTCTCTGATGCTCAATCTTAACTTTCTGACATGTCAAACACTTACTCACAAACAAAGCAATATCTTTCTTCATTCCCGACCACCAGAAGTTTCGTTTCAAGTCTTGGTACATCTTGGTAGCACCAGGATGGATAGTGTACTTACCCATATGGCCCTCAGCCAATACCTCATCTACCATTTGACCCTTCGGAACAATGATCCGATCTTTGTAAAACTTAAGACCGAACCTATCCGTGGACACAAAGTCCTGCTCTTTCATAGACTGAATCTCTTCATCAAGCAATATTGAGCTTCTTTAATCCGCTCAACTAATGAGTTCAGGACTACCGTAGTAGTCAATAAATGCGGGCTATCCTCTGCATTCACAGGAATGCGGAGATCCCTGAATTTCTCAATCAAATTATACTCCGAAATCATCAAATTGGCCATACCAAGCGCCTTTCTGCTTAAAGCATCTGCTACTACATTGGCCTTACCGGGGTGATATTGCAATTCAAAATCATAATCCTTCAGGAATTCCACCCATCGGCGTTGCCTCATATTCAGCTCTTTCTGATCAAACAGATACTTCAAACTTTTGTGGTCACTGTAGACAATGAAATCGCCCCCGTATAGAAAGTGTCACCAGATTTTCAATGCGAACACTACGGCTGCCAGCTCAAGATCATGTGTCGGATAGTTCTCCTCATGCGGCTTTAACTGCCGAGAAGCATAAGCAACCACCTGACGGAACTGCATTAAAACACAGCCTAACCCAGACTTAAAAGCATCACAATACACCACAAATTTACTGGTAGGATCCGGCAATATCAATACCGGAGCTGTAGTCAACTTCCTTTTCAACTCCTGAAAACTCACTTCACATTCTTGGGTCCACACAAATGGGTTCCCCTTACGGGTTAACCGTGTCAAAGGTAGTACCATCCGTGAGAATCCCTCAATTAAACGCCTATAATACCCAGCCAAACCAAGAAAACTCCTGATCTCTGTAATATTTTTAGGACGTTCCCATTCTAACACTGCTTCAATCTTACTCGGGTCCACTGTCACTCCTTCCGATGAGAAGACATGGCCCAGAAATTGTATCTCAGAAAGCCATAATTCACACTTTGACGGTTTAGCATACAACTGATGCTCTCTCAGAATCTGCAAAACAACCTTTAAATGCTCAGAATGCTCTTCTTTACTCTTTGAATATACCAGTATGTCATCAATAAAGACAACCACAAACAGATCCAGATAGGTTTTAAAGATCCGATTCATATAACTCATGAAAACGGCTGGTGCATTTGTAAGCCCAAATGGAATAACCAGATACTTATAGTGCCCATATCGGGACCTGAAAGCTGTCTTCGGAATGTCATCCGGCTTTACCCGGATTTGATGATACCCGGACCGGAGATCAATCTTAGAAAATACAGTTGCACCACGCAACTGATCCAACAAATCATCTATACGCGACAAAGGATACTTATTCTTAACAGTAACCTTGTTCAACTGCCGGTAGTCTGTACATAATCTCATAGACCCATCCTTCTTCTTAACGAAGATCACCGGTGCTCCCCACGGAGACACACTTGGTCTGATAAAATTCTTACTGGACAAGTCTTCGACCTGCTTCTTCAATTCAGATAATTCTAGAGGTGACATCCAGTATGGGGCAAGAGAGATAGGCCCCACGCCAGGTAACAAGTCAATTGCAAATTCAATTTCCCTCTTTGGAGGAAAGTGCGGAATTTCATCCGGAAAGACATCCTCAAACTCGGAGACAATCGGAATAACAGAAATTGGCTCCTTGTTGACACCAACCAGACCTCCCAATAAAACAAACCCGGAATCTCCTTCCTTCAAGGCCTTTACCACCCGAAGTACAGACAAATAAGGAGACTCCCTTTCTTCATCATGAGATGAGACAGAAATGGTTTTACTGCAGCAGTCAATCTTCACACAGTACTTGGACAACCAATCCATCCCCAGAATTAAATTCACAGATGCAAGATGTAAGACGATAAAATCGGCAGAATATTCCCTGCCATCATACTTGAATTTCATATTTTCACAAACATAGTCTTCATTAAAAACTCTTCCCACAGCCGTAACAATATGCATAGGAGTTTTCATTTTTATCACATGCAGACCAAATGCTTCAGCTACATAATCAGCAATAAAAGAATGCGTGGCACCAGAATCAAACAAAACACTAAGCATTTCATCACGAACAGAAATCATACCTCGTACCAAACTAGCTGACCTCTCAGCCTCTTGCTGAGTCACTGCATATACTCGGGCAACTGGAGATGGGAGAGGTAGAGATGGTTCCTCAACCACAATAGGAGCCGGAGTAGCCTGAATAGTAGAAACCATATCATAAGTGAGTTGTATTCAGTGTTGTTAAAATTCAATCTATCGCCTAAATATTATGTTCCTGCGTCAAAATTCTGCCCATATTCAAATAATCCAAATAAATATGAATCTGTTTCACAACAAAAATCAGTAGTGTTTAGATATATTAAATTCTGCTGTCCAATAGTTTGGATATTAATTTTAAAATAAACATTCATCAATAAAAGGCGGTGTCAATAATGTACTTCTACTTTTATGTTGTTAAATGCAATCACATCAAGATATTTACACTTCTAAGCATTTAAGATATCATTTTAGAAATTTTACGTAGCTAGACATCATATGTATCAGCATCTCATGACTATATATCCAAAATGTTTCTAAGATATCAATGTAATGCTAGTGTAAAATTATCATTATTCTAATTATTATCTATGTGAAATGCTCATTTTGTTCGCCATTGGTTTCAAATGGACTCTTCTTGCTTTGTTTTTTACGTTGCACAGTTAGAAGATTTTCATGTCCAAACTGAAAAGTTACAGACTATGAACCCTTGGATTCTCCCATGGTATAACATTGTTCAGACCGATAATTGATGACTTTAATGTTAGATAAGAAGGCTCTGTTCAATGTACAAAGCGACTTTGTTTGAATTTTGTTCCAAACCTATGTTTGTTTAACCTAAGATATATTTTATATTCATTTACATATGGTGCTAAAATATTTTCTTAGTACTTCTTTATCTAATAGTAATCAGCATATTATGTTTTATCCACATTTAGTTTTCTCAGAAGTTACTTGTCTCATTCTTGCTCCATAAACTAAGGAGTAAGGAAAAATATTTTTGTCTCCTCCTTTGCAAACACATTTCTTAGTACCAATCTCCTTTGTCTAAGACTAGCTAGCCTTTTATATGAACACAAATAATAGTTTTGGACATTGTTGGATTGTAATTGAATTGGACTATTGTACCTATTTTAGCAAGGAAAAATCTCATCTTAAGGACAGAAGAAACCAAGTATGGTCAAAGGTGTACAAATCAATGCTGACAAGATGGACTCCTTGTATTGTCGATAGCTAAATGCAGAAAGTCGTTCATGACAAGAACTTTAACTTCTGTTGGTTCACTTCCCTATAAAACCCAACTCCATAGTCCTTATGGAGCTTTGTATTCTCTTATAGGGGACATTGGAACATCGAGGAAGTGTTCAATTGCGTTTTTAATTGGATTGGAAACGTAGTAAAGAAATTAGAGTGTGCATGGCCTTTTAGGTTTCCAAGGTCCAACATATGGATCCAGGTAATACTCTCTCTACCTAGTAGAATATTGGTCTTCAAGAAAGTTGAGAAGAAACAATAAATTCCATCAAAAAGGGTTAGAAACTATTCTGTTTGGTCAATCTTTCTGGCACCACAGGTGTTTTATCCTCTCATGTACAATTTGTTTCTCTTAAGAATTTACTATTTTAACACAATAATCATGTGGTATTCTTGAAAGAATTGTAGAGCAATTTCTCCTTTGACCTTGTAAGCTCTAATGTCATTAAAATCACCAACTATACATCTCAAAAGCTTAAGCTTTTACTTAAAGGCTAATTAATGAATGGTTTTTGTATCTAATAGTTCAAAATACTTGTTATTCTGAACAAAGTTTATTGGGAGATAATTGCTTGAAAATGATGAATGATTACAACAACAAATTATTTCTCAAGCTGTACTATTTCTGCATGCATTGAATTTGACATTGCAATAACACTTCTGAGTTTGCCAAAACCGAACTCATTTTGTTATTGAGAGTGGAAATGGTTGATGAGAAACAATTATCTTTCGTTACACTTCTTTCCCAGTTTTTTTCTGATAAAGCTATCTCTTATATTGGGTTCACCATACCCGTGGCTCAAAGATATGAATGGGGAGGAGAGGGGCAAATACCTGGTCCTTACTCTTAATAATTGTGCTAAATTTATTGAGTCAGGAAGCATCGTGAATGCAGATACTGCACTGGACTATATTGCTCACGTTGCATCCCATGATGGTGATGCAATGCAGCGAGTAGCCACCTATGTGAGTGAGGGCCTAGCTTGCCAAGCACTGAAAAATTTTCGTGGTGTACCTAAAGCTCTGAGTTTGTCAAAAACATTGTCAACATCAGAAGAACTACTTGTTAAGAAATTATTCTTTGATATGTTTCCATTTTTAGAGATTGCGTATGTGATCACAAGTCATGCCATTGCTGAAGCCATGGAAGGGGAAGAAGTGATCAATATCATTGATCTCAGTGCATCTGATGCTGCTCAGTGGATTTATCTTATGAAGAGATTAAAAGAAAATCAAAATAACACACCATTTCTGAAAATTACAGGCATTCATGAGAAGAAGGAAGTGTTGGAGAAAATGGCCATTTATTTGAGAGTAGAAGCAGAAAAGTTGAATTTCCATCTTCAGTTCAATGCTATTGTAAGCACTTTGGAGAATCTTGACCTTGAAGGATTGCCTGTCATGAAAGGAGAGCCTCTAGCAATCAGTTCAGTACTTCAGTTACACTCTCTTCTGGCCACTGATGACCCAATTGTGTGCAGCAGGAGCTTGCCTGCAGAATCAATGAATCAACGAACCTTTGCAGAGATGCTTGGGAAACAAAAGATCAACCCGAGTTCGAATTCATCATTGTTACCACTTCCTCTATGTGCTTCTTCACCAAGATGGTGTGCTTTCTAAATGGCCTGAGGAAACTTCAACCAAGAGTGATGATGATTACTGAACAAGAATCCAACACTAATTGTTCTTCTTTGACAGAAAGGGTTGACAAAGCATTGGACTTTTATGGTGCATTGTTCACTTGCTTGGAATCTACTGTTTCAAAAACAGAAGTAGAGAGAATCATACTGGAGAGGACTCTACTTGGGGAGGAAATAAAGAACATTGTTGCATGTGAAGGAGTTGAGAGAAAGGTGAGGCATGAGAAACTTGAGACTTGGATCCCAAGGCTTGAATTGGCTGGTTTTGGGAGGGTACCTATCAGCTATGAAGGGATAACGCAGGCAAAAAAACAGTTGCACAGGTATGGAAATGGATATAAGCTTCATCAGGAGAAGAATTGCTTGTTTGCTTGCTGGAATGGTAAGCCACTCTTTTCTGTATCATCCTGGAAGCTTAGATGAATATATCTCCTTGTTGAAGAGCAGTGTGATGGTGACATTAACTAGTTTGGAATATCCAAAGATATTGCTATCGTTGTTGATGATGTAAGAATACTATGAAACTGTGTGGATTGCACATTAGAAAGTTTTATTGAGGTTCAGTTTTTATTTAGCTATTTGCCAAAGTGTGTGAATGTTCAAAACTCTATAAATTATCAGATGTTTATGATTTTATATATTGAAAGTAGCAAGATTGTAAAATTGGCATTCTTCCATGTCTCTAGGATTTTGTGTAAAGGGTTACATTTTTTCTTCATTTATCTTTAAGTGATTAGTCCTATAAAGAAATCAATCTACACCTGTCTGATAGGCACTTTGTCTTCCACAGTTACATAGTGATATTCTATTTCAGCAACGAGCATGTTTTACAATTAGACTTATTTCTGTTTATCGAAATTTGCATGATGTTGATACTCTGCTGTGTCTCCCCCAAGCATGTATGGGAAGGATCCATTTACAAACTTTTTTTACAAATTACACTATGTACTCCCGAAAAAACATAATGTAACCTAGTGTTCCCCCAGAAGAACACAATGTAATTTGTAAGAGTTTGTAAACAAAAAATTTGTAAATATAACCCTTCCCGTATACATATAGGAACATAAACTGGACTAAATCACACACATACCTGCCAGGAGTGAAAGTGTGGGGAAGAGAAAGATTCGATGTCTGAGAGACAAGGGATAAAGAAAGACTAATGACTCTGCTTCTTACACAAATAAGAAGAATATAGTAATATACATACAAATATTTTAATTTTTTTTATATGAACACTGGTATCCAGAAGCTACTTAGACACCTTGCTAATAGGGAGTTAAGATGGGTGAATCACTTCAGAGACTAAGCTCTTTCAGCAACTTCTTTCTTTTTTTCATTCATAATACTCAAACCAGGAATACCTAGCTTCTGCCACTGGAATCAACATATGTTATAAACTAATCATAAAGAAAGATTAGAATAATAGAATGCAACTAGAAAAGAGTTCTGAGTAAACTAATCATAAACAAAGATTAAAACAGTATTTTTATCCGAAAAGAAGTAATTACTGGATAAGAACTCCACTTCTTATATTGGTAAATTAAAAATAATATTTATATAAAAAACTAACACCCAGATCAAATATTACCTTATAAGAGACATACTCTCTCTGTTTCATTCGTAACATGTAATATTGCATTGTCCAATTAACAGCAATATAACAACAAGCCAAAATAATTATAGAAACATACTACAATAAAACATATTTAATTTGATAAAAATGACATGCCAGAAACAAAGCAGCTGCATACATTTATATTAGGGTTACATTAGCAAACTCTAAGTGAGTCTCATCTAGGTGCCATAAGGGCATACAATATCGCACTCTCTCAAAAGTGTAAATTAGGGATGATACACTGTGACATTGTACTCAACAACAAAATGTTCAGGGGTAGAAACAGAATTAACACTATTTGCTATGGCATACCCCCTAGCAAACCTAAACACACCAGTGCCACCAACTATTGGCATTTCTCTATTTTCCTCAGAAATAGGATTTCTCCCTAACATGCTAAGTGTGCTCCCTGCATAGATATCCTCTGTGAAAACAAAATTAGTCAACATGGTCATCCCAAGATCTTGCAAAGAAGAAAGACCAAATAACCCTTGAGCTCTTCCAACATGCTTTGAACTCAGCTCTGGCCCTTCAGTCATAGCATCATCCATCACAAAAGTTGAGCCAAACCCATTAGGAACACCTTTAGGTGTTGGAATAATTTGCACTATTGTTGGGTTTTTGTCATTTCTAATATCATGATAATAAAAGTGGAGATGGGTCAGTTTCTCTGTTAGGTATTGATCTGAGGGTAACTTGATGTGGGATTGTTCTGAGAACACTCCATGGATAGTGGTTAGGTGCGTAGAGATAAGAGTTAGAGACAACAGAAAGTAAAAGCTATGAGGAACAGCCATTGTAAGGTACTTGCACTATTGGACAAAGCACTCGTTTATAAGGGGTTTTGGAATTAAATATTGCGTTTTGAATTTTTTATTAGCCACGACCATCACGAGGGATCAAAGTGAAGCCTTCCCTTGTTTTGTGTGAGAATTCACGTGACATTACTTTAGTCACCTGCAATAAAAATATTATTCATTATTAACTATTTTTCATGTACTATTAGAATAGAAAAATATTTATGTTGTATAATATCAAATGTATATCACTTTAATTATACAAATTATCGTTATTCCTCATTTTATTTGCGTTGAGTTATGTATCATTAAAATTGGTGATTGTGAAAAAAATTAGTATTATATTCGTCGAATTTCGTTGATAATTTATTTCTTCTTTTGGTATACATTTTTGGCCGTTACCACCACTGAATATTTTCGACAGGTTTGTTCATTGGAAATTGTCGAATCTCGATTCTTTCTGATAATGTAGCATGTACCACGTGGCTATAGACGAGAAATTTGCCACCCGATATTACATTTTGTTAAATAACAAGAAAAGAAAGGAACATTGAAATAATCTGTGTGTATTGACTGATGAAGGTTGTACAATATATAAACAGACTACTGGGCTAAGCTCAAACCTAATGTAATCTGACCTAATACAAAATAAGGAAACCCTAATTACAAAATAAGGAAACCCTAATTACTATATATTTCTAACACTCCCCCTCAAGCTGGAGTGTATTGGTCATATGCACCAAGCTTGTTACATATAAACTCTATTCGAGGGCCCCTCAAAGATTTTGTAAACACATCTGCTAATTGCTCATTAGAGGGTACAAAGCTAGTTTTAATTTCACCAGCAAGAACCTTTTCTCGAACAAAGTGGCAATCTATTTCTAGATGCTTGGTTCTTTCATGAATCACTGAATTTGATAAAATGTGTAGAGCTGCTTGATTATCACAAATGAGAGTTGCCTGTCCAGTGTCTCCAAACTTAAGTTCTCTGAGAAGCTGTTTAAGCCAGATGAGCTCGCAAGTAATAGTCGCCATAGAGCGATATTCTGCTTCAACACTTGATCTGGCAACTACGCTTTGTTTCTTACTTTTCCAGGAAATCAAGTTGCCTCCAACAAAGACACAATACCCAGAAGTAGATTCCCTATCAGTTGGACAACCAGCCCAATCAGCATCACAGTACCCAACCACTTTATCATGACCTTTATCTTCATATTCAAGGTCTTTCCCTGGAGATGCCTTGATATACTTAAGAATACGAATGACTGCATTCCAATGTTCTTGACATGCAGAATTGAGAAATTGACTGACAACACTAACTGCAAAGGAAATATCAGGCCCCAACCAATCTTCTATACTGCTCAGGATCTGAAAAGGGCTCCCCCTGATTTGGTAGAAGCTTGATACTTGGATCCATAGGAGTATCAACAGACTTTGAATTTAACAGAGCAGTTTCTTCAAGAATATCCAGAGCATATTTCCTCTGAGATATCACAACACCAGCTTTAGATTGGGCCACCTCGATTCCTAAGAAGTATCGAAGTTTCCCAAGATCCTTAGTCTGAAAATGATGACATAAGTGTTGTTTCAATCGAGTGATCCCATGCTGATCACTGCCTGTGATGACAATATTATCCACATATACCACCAGATAAATAGATCCAGAAGCAGAATGACGATAAAAGAGAGAATGATCAGCTGCACTCCGAGTCATGCCAAATTGTTAAACAACACTGCTAAATTTACCAAACCAAGCTCTTGGAGATTGTTTGAGGCCATAGAGAGACTTACAAAGACGACAAACAAGACCTGACTCCCCCTGAGCAACAAATCCAGGAGGTTGCTCCATATAAATTTCTTCCTCAAGATCACCATGAAGAAAAGCATTCTTGATATCCAGTTGGTAGAGAGGTCAATGGCTAATAGCAGCCATGACAATAAAAAGGCGAACAGTAGACATTTTCGCCACAGGAGAAAAAGTATCAATAAAATCCAAGCCAAAGACCTCAGTGAAATCTTTCGCCACCAAGCGAGCTTTAAGACGATCCACTTGACCATCAGGTCCAACCTTAAAAGCATAAATTCATCTGCAACCAACCACGTATTTTCCAGAAGGAAGAGGCACCAAGTCCCATGTGCCATTATGATGAAGAGCACTCATTTCATCAATCATAGCTTGTCTCCATCCCGAATGTGAAAGTGCATCACTTGTGGTCTTAAGAACAGATACAGAGGACAAAGAGGAAAGGCAAGCAAAATATGATTGAGAAAGACGATGATAACTAATATTGACTGTATACCTGGCCGGAGGGCGAGTATCACGAGTACCCTTACGAAGAGCAATGGGAAGGTCACTATCCGAAGGTGGGACCGAAGCCGTGGAAGGAGATGCAGTTGAATGTGAGTGCACAGATACATCTGACGAACTATGCTCGATCTCATCAGCAGAAGAGGTGATAGAAGGAGAGTCAGAAACATGGACGGGTAAAGACGGAAGGTAAAGAAGGTCACTTGGGAAGGACGACTGTACAGAATCAGTATCCACAAGAGTACTAGAGGTTCCAAAAAAGGGAACTTATTCATAAAAGGAGACATCCGCCGAGATAAAGCATCGACATAAAGTGGGAGAGTAGCAATGGTAACCCTTCTAAGACCGAGGATAACCCAGAAAAACACATTTATGAGACTTGGGAGCTAATTTATCCAAACCTGGACCAAGATGATGAACAAAACACGTAGAACCAAACACATGTGGAGTTAAAGGATATAAAGCTTGATGGGGAAATAAAATAGAGTGAGGTACCTTATGATTGAGAACAGATGATGGCATGCGATTAATGAGATAGCATGCAGTAAGTATAGCATCACCCCAGAATGTGTATGGAACATTACCATCAATGAACAAGGCACAAGTGGTTTCAACCAGATGGCGATTCTTGCGCTCGGCTACACCATTTTGTTGAGGTGTATGAGGGCAAGATGTTTGATGAAGAATGCCATGAGATGAAAAGAATTGTTGAAATTGATGAGATAAGTACTCACATGCAAAATCACTACGAAAAGTACGAATAGAAATACCAAATTGAGTTTTTATTTCATTATAAAATAACTGAAAAATAGAAAACAACTCAGACCGTTTTTTCATTAAAAATAACCAAGTACATCTGGAATAATCATCAATAAAAGTAACAAAGTACTTAAAACCCAAAGTAGAAGAATGACGACTTGGTCCCCAAACATCAGAGTGGACCACAAAAAAAGGAGAAACAACTTGACGACTAAGACGACTCGGAAACGTACTACGAGTATGTTTCCCAAACTGACAAGACTCACAATTTAAAGTAGAAAGAGACGATAAATGGGGAACCATCTTCTGAAGCTTTGCAAGACTAGGATGGCCCAGACGAGCATGGATAGTAAGAGGAGAATCCACAGTGGAGCAGGCTGAAGAAGAGGGAACTAGTTGATAGAGGCCTTAAGACTCACATCCTTTGGTAATCTCCTTCCTCGAACTCCGATCCTGAAAGATGACAGAGGTTTTAGTAAAAGAAACAACACAGTCAATGGATTTGGTCAACCGACTAACAGAAAGTAAGTTAAAAAGAGAATCAGGAACATATAGAACATGATCCAGAGATAAATTAGGTAAAAGAAGAACTGTGCCAATCCCCCTTGATTGGACCAGAGACCTATTGGCCATTTGGGGAGAGGATGACCGGAGCTTGCATGCGCGTGTGTAGGCGCGTGAGGGCTCCGATGGAGGTGCGGCCGGTGCAGTTGGGATCACGCTTCCAAGACGAGCACGCCGGTATGTGGTTTGCAGGAAAACTCCACCGGACGGTGGTGGTTGACGAAGACAGCAGCCTGATCGTGAAAGCGGAAGAAAAAGTGTACCAGAAACTGACAGCGAGACAGTTCCGGAAAAAAATTTAAAAGACGATGAACAGTAGGTTCACCGGAAAAAAAAAATTTAAAAGTTCCTTAGGCTCTTGATACCATGTTAAATAACAAGAAAAGAGAGGAACATTGAAATAATCTGTGTGTATTGACTGATGAAGGCTGTACAATATATAAACAGACTAATGGGCTAAGCCCAAACCTAATGTAATCTGACCTTATACAAAATAAGGAAACCCTAATTACAATATATTTCTAACACATTTAATGTAAGCTACAGCTGCCACATTTTAGGATTAAATTTAACATTTAATTAAGGAAAAAACACTTTGGCAGGATGGATTTACTTATAGACTTGAGATTTGTAGTTCTTTTAGAATAGAGTTGTGGAGTGTGCTTTGCGGGCTGGAATTAGTTTGGAATTCTGGTCACCATAATGTTATAATTAAAAGTGATTCAACTTATGTTATCATTGTGCTCATCTCCCAGGGTGCTCGTGAGAGTCAGTTGATTTCTCGGATACGAGCATGGATTCAGAAAGATTGGTAGGTTAGTTTCAACCACACGTTCACGAAAGGAAATGCTTGTGCGGATTGGATGACAAATTTTATCTTGGAGTATGATGAGGATGTGCAATATCTTTTTTGTGAAGAACCACCACCTGGCATTCACGTTATTTATCTGGCTGATCTTACTGGAGTGGGAAGACCGCGAGCTCTGGTGATCCAATAGCTTCTGTTTCTGTTTTGATTTTTTGTCTTTGTTTTTATTTTTGGGCTCTGGCTCTATTGGCTATAAAAAAGTGTCTTTTTCAGTTGCTGAGAGCTCGAAAATCGCATTTATTTTTATTTTGTTTTGTTTTTACAAAAATATAAAGGCCCCATTTTTATTCTGTCTGTGGGAACATGACCATTTTTACGAAAATACCTAATATACTACTATTGCACGAGAAAATATATATATTTTTATCTAAATGTCAGTTGCTGAATGAAAGAGTTACTTACTACAGTTGTATGAAAGATGTTCTTATTTTTACCGTGAAAGAATAAGTGTAAAATCTTTTAATTAATAGAACATTTTTCTTTTTACAAGAAAAGTGTCTTCTTCAG